TGAATCACTATTCAGATGTTTTGGGGGGCCTCAGATTGAGGAGGTTCATTTTGTTTAACAAGGCATTATTGGGTAAATGGCTGTGGCGATTTGGAGCGGAAATGGAGAGCTTTTGGAGAGAAGTCATTGGGGCAAAGCATGAAGTGATGGAGGGGGTTGATGTTCAGGTGAGGGTCGTAGCTCCTATGGGGTGAGCTTGTGGAGGTATATTCGACGAGGTTGGAGCGACCTTCGGGACAGATTGACTTTTGTGATTGGGAATGGTAACAATATCAGCTTTTGGGAGGACTGTTGGTGTGGTGATATACTGCTAAAGGTGAGGTTTCCTTCCTTGTATCGCATTTGTTTAGTGTCATTTGTTATGGTGAATGATGTTTTAGTCATCCACAATGGGAGTTATAGGTGGAATATTACCTTTCAGAGGGGCTTGTAGGATTGGGAATTTGATGATTACGCATTGTTTTTAAACCNCAGAGGGGTTTGTAGGATTAGGAATTGGAGGATTACGCACTGTTTTAAAACTATTTGTATGATGTGAAAATTCGAGTTGGAGAGGAAGATCGTAGCCGGTGGCGGTTGGCACGAAATTGTTTTTTCAGTTCACTCTTATTTTAAATCCCTCTTGGGACCTGTCGAGAATTCATTCCCTTGGAAGATGGTGTGGCAATGTAAATTGCCTCCACGAGTGGCATTTTTGCTGTGGACGGTTGTTAGGGGACAGGCATTAACGATGGATATCCTCCGAGGAAAAGGCTTCTATGTAACCGAGTGGTGCTATATGTGTAGGAGTAATGGAGAGACACATGATCAATTGTTCATTCACTGTGACGATGTTCGTTAGCTGTGGAATAATATTTTGACTTCTCAACATATAGATTGGGTGTTGCCTAGATGTATTGAGGACGTGCTGTAGGCATGGAGGAGAAAAGTTTCGTGATAAGGACAGCAAGCTTGTTTGGAATCTTATACCGGGATGCATTATTTGGTGTGTGTGGAGAAAAATGAACAATCATTATTTTGAAGACCAAACACGGATTACAGAGCAATTTAGATAATTCTTTTATCAACTTTGTATAGTTGATTTAATGTCGCAACTAGTAATCCTATAGAGGAGCTATCTAACTTCATGTCTTTTCTTTCTTATTTAAGTTGATAATACACTTCCTGTGTATTTTCTTGTTTAAATTGATAATACACTTCCTGTGTATGCTTTTTTAATTAATAAAATTATTTGATTACCTATCAAAAAAAATTGTCTATAGAAAGGGGGTGTGACATAGAGTGCTACAGAAATGTATTATCTAATTACTTTTACCACGACTCATGACGCTTGCAAGTGGAGTCGTCCAGGGCATCGACTTGTTACAATTTCTACAATTCACGATAGATTATACAATCTAAAATGCTAGTAATTGTTGCAGATTCTATTGTCTTTTTTCCAAGAAAAATTGGTAAAAAAATAATTGTACACGTTAAGGACCTTTCACATGCCCAAGGGACTTGTGTAAATAATAACTTCTTTCTTTCAAATTTCAATGCAATAAAGAAGTGGTAAAAATAAGCTATGTATAGCCAACTTCTGGTTTCTAATTATACTCTTAAGGCTCGTCTAGTATGTAATCTTTCAAGAGTTACAAGAACAAAGTATTAGTCCCCCACTAAACTCGAAAAATCCTAGTCTCGACAGCAGACATCATGAGATAATCGAAGATGTGATCCAAGAGATCAAATTTGCATCCCATGCTTTGGTCATATGCAACAAACAAAATCGCACTAGAAAACATGGGGAAAACCATCACCAGCTGCACAAACTGGAAAAGAAAATCCAATAAACTGAATACCATCATGTCATGTGCTTCAATGGTGTCAGGAACTACTTCGGATCATAACCCGCAAATCAAAAGATTTCAGTCATTTGACTGTTTTCAAGAAGACTTAGCTTCAAAGAGTCGATGATACCTATGGGGCCTGGATGTTGATAACTAACCCCTAACTATTGATACTCAAACCCATTCAGCCCCTTGTATGCAACTTTTGATGCCCAAGGCGCAGGAACTTGTGTTTTGATAATGTCAAATAATTACTAAATGAAATTTTATGGCCTTTAACAAGGATTAGAAATTATTATTAGCCTCGTACGAAAATAATATGGTAGAGAATAATATTATTCTAAATTTCTAATAGTAACAAGGTTTGTGGGCAATTTACTGAAATCCAATAATAGTTCTGTTATTTTAGACAGTTCCTGCTATGGGAGACCATTGAGATCATTCCACCCACTCTCACGCGTAGAAGAAAACCAATCAAATCTAAGCAAAAAAAGAAATTTAAAAGAATAAGCGATCAGTCATTCCCCAATAGGTCCCTCCCACATACACTAAATCAAACAAAACGGAGGCAGAGCAATATGCATATAAACACTAATGCACTGCAAAATAAAACTATTATATAAATTTTTGTCCTCGTCACTCACCAAATGATTGACTATGTGCGAACCAGAAGTATTCCCGCGCGAATTACAAAACCATTTCCGGCATGATGGGACATTGCAGCGAACCACACAGGCCGGGTTTGTAACACCACAGTACCTACAAGCATGCTCTGTGAAATCCCCCTTTCCGTACTCAAACCCGTCATCATCCCCAGTCTCTTCAAAAGTCAATCCGCTCATCCCTGCTGCCAACGCTTCGACCACGCCTTCCTTACTATTATTACCACTGCTAAAAATACCATTATTATTGATGTTGTTGCTACTTATTCCTCCTCCAGTACCACGGGGTTTAGTTGAGGGGGAAGCATCCTTCGAGGGGGCTCGATCCGCAGTAGCGGTCTCGGATGAGGCAATTGCGTCGGAAGGTGTGGGCCACGCGGAGGAGGAGGATCGGATAGGCTGTGAGAGCTCTGGGAATTCAGGGTAATCGAACTCCTCTCCTTGCGTGTTAAATTCCAAGAATGTGTAGGCGTCGTCCCCTGTATCCGGCTGCGACGCCGTTTCATACAGATTGTTCGTCTGTGAATCCATGATCTAATGGGAAAATCAGAGTAGATGGGATATACAAAATTGTATTTATATATATATATATATATAATCACGCGTGTTTAGGAATTTTAGGGAAAAGGAGAATTGAAATGGAGAAAGAAGAATGAGGGTTAGGGTTTGATGATGAGGTGGAAGGAGATAGATTCTACGTGGAATGTAGTTCCCAATACAAAAGTGATGTACGATGAAGTGTCACATAAATTGAAACCCTTCTATATCGAGTAAATTGCATACAGGGTCCTTGAAGTTGGACTATATTTTAAGTTGGTCCTTAAAGATTTTTTTTTATCATTTTACCAATTTAATCATTGAAGTTTAGTAACGGTTCAAAATAGTGACTCGAGGTTGGCTCCTCGTCCCATGTGGAAACCATTACATGGTGATGTGGATCCTTACGTCCATTTCCAAATAAGAGCGAATCACAAATTTAATTGACCATTTGAAAATTGATATTTCAAGAACTGAACTAAGGGCGTGTTCGATAGGGATTAAAATCAAATTAAAATTGAAAAACTAGTCGTTATTGTTGACTTTTATTAGACGAGTGAGACCCAATAACGATTACATTTTCAATTTTAATTGAATTTTAATCATAACCAAACATGCTCTAAATATAAAGCTCTGCTTAGAAAGATAGAATCTAGTTTGTGCCACTTTACACCTAGAAATAGGTATAATATGGTCTATTTTCTTGCTTATGATGCTACAACTTTGAGAAGTTGAAACGAATTCAAAGTTGGTCTTTAACTTTTGTTTTTTATCAGTTCAATCGTTAGTAGATAACTGTTTAATGAGATTGACTCATCGTAAAGTATGAAAGCCATTAAAACGATGATATGGACATCAATCCATTAATTTGAGATGTAGAAATGCAAATCAGTTCATTGAAATGTGATTGTTGATCGAACAAGTTTTTTCCATTATCCCTTGTTAATCCTATTCTAACGATCTGAGTAAAACGTTTCTCGGGACGATAATTATCAGGATGATGGCTCACAGGGTCGGTCTAGGTTACTCACATTCAGGGGGGGTGGGTATTTTTTTGGGCATTTTTTATTGCACGTGGGGCCCACCTCATTGAGAGAGAGCATGTAACCCATCTGTGAACCAAAACCTGGTAGAGTAGCATTTTTCTTTTGCAAATGTGCTTTGATCCTGACACCATTACTTTACCATTCACACGCAAAGTAAGAAACATAACAGAAAAAGTAGTCAAACTAGAAAGGAAATTGTCACGTGTCAACAAAAAGAGTCGAATGCACATTGGGGGGCAATTTTGCATTACTGAATTTAATTAACTATTTAATAAGGTGAAAAAGTAGCTCAAGTGGAACTTATTTCTCGCTTGTGTTGTTCAAAAAAGTCGAATATCACATATGGAGGGACAATCTCACATTACTAAATTCAATAAACTAAGAGCTTGTCTGGGAGCAATTCTTAAGCAATTTTTATCCTTTTTCTTACCGTTAACAACTGACAAATTCGCGTTCCAAGAATAGTAAAAAATGATGGCTGCGGAAATGTGTACAAATAATGTGAACATTTAACGGGTGTAACTATTTCATTAGTTCTTGTCCTTTTTATAAAATAATGAAGTCAGCAGTTGCTGCAAAATCTGACACATTTGTCCACACCATATCATGGTGCTAAATTCAATTAATTGATCGATAGGGTTTGAATTCTATCCCAAAGCTACTGCGTAAAAATTCTAATGCTCAAAGCAAGTTTTATGTATAGTAAAAGCAATACGTAACAAAAATTATTGCATTTTATAGATAGGAAAGAGTTCTCAAAAATCATAATATTACTAGAATATAACCCCAAATTATTATACCACAGGAATTTCAATACTGATCCAATAGATCATGTCAGATAAATCAAAAAACTCCCCTACAAAATAGACATCAACTGAATTTTATAGGGGGAATTCTCCCCAGTTCATAAGCAATATATGTATGGTTTAGGCTGCAACTTTTGTAACACCTCCAATTCTATCAAGCTCTTCCAAAGCTGCCCAAAGCTTTGGATCTTCATAATCTTTAATTAGAAAAGCAGGCTTTGCTTCCATCAGCAAGTGTGCAGGATTTCCAGTTGTCAAGCCAATAACAGACATCCCTGCAGCAACCCCGGCTTTTATTCCCGAAACAGAATCCTAGACAACCAAAAAATGTTTAAATTTTATGAAGTATGAGCAACTAATCTTAAAGGGAGTGTGGATGAGGTCAAACCTCAAATACAAATGTGCGATCCTTGGAGACATTGAGAATTTCAAGCGCCTTCAAATAGGGGTCCGGGAATGGTTTAGCATGTTCACAGTCACTTCCAAGAACTACGGTATGAAAGAAATCTGACAGTCCAAGAGTCGAGATCATCTGTTCAGCATTTGGTCTCGGAGCATTAGTAACAGCAGCTCGTTTCAGACCACGGTCTTCTATCCATTTTTTCAGTTTGTACAAACCATTTACAGGTTTCAACTGCTCCTTAGCCAACCTGTAGTTTTCACTCAAAATAATATTTGTAAAGGCCGGTTAAGGAAAAAAGTTGCATTAAATAAAGGAGAAAAAATAAAATTCACCTTCTGAACATAGCTTCCTTGTCATCACAAAATTTTACACCCCTTTCATAATCATCAGGGAAAAGAACGGAAGCAATATCATCATTGTGCTTCCCAGCAATATTCTTGATAAAGAATTCCTCATCAATTGGGATGCCACTATTGAAGCCAATCTGTTAAATAGCTCAGCATTTTTAAAAACACCGTAGAACAGTGATGAGATGCATTGAAATTAGTTAGGTGTTTTACTCTCGTTTACATAATCAACAAGCACTTTACAAGAAACGTTTTCCATGCACAACGATATCTGATTGGCATAAAAGCAAATGACAACGAATAGTTCACACCTCCTGAAGCATTTCACGGAAAGCATAATAGTGGAGGGGATCTGTATCGCACAAAGTTCCGTCAACATCAAATAGCACTGCCTCGACAGGAGCAAGTTGATACAGAGAACAAGTGCTGTTTAAGAGAAAATGGCATCAATAAGTTCTCCTTTTAACTCTTTTCAACCAATAACATAAATATATTATTCTCTTGATCAAAAAAAAAGCATCTAATTCGAAGTTCAAGAACTCTCTCGTCAAAAATTTGTAACCACGGTAAAATAGCTGTAGAGAACCTCACACTTTTTTATACAACAAGAACTCACAAAATTGACAACATTGATTTCGAAAACAGTCTTCCGATCACTTCCTTGGTAACTGATTACCACACAGGTGAGAACGATATTTCTGGTTCATAAAACATGGATCAAAATTTCTCCTCACATTTAGCATCTTCAAACAGTGATCATATCCATCAGGCAAAAATTGGAATTTGCAAATGGAGATATTCAGACAGAATGTTGTGGAATAAAGTCATTTGGCATTTACAATGGTAGAAAAATCTCAAATATTTATGAAAAAATTATGGTGTGTTTGTCTCCTATTAATGGGAGAAAAATAGAGTAATGAATAGTATTTTTTAGATAACGTGTGGTTGAAAATTAAAGTAACTTTATTGGTTTGTGTGAATATTTTATTGGGTGAATGTGTGGTGGAGAATCTTATTGTAGCAAACAATTTTTTGGAATAATGGTAGACAAACAGGGGCTAAATTTGATAGATATTATCTACCAAATAAAGAAGTTTTAATAAATATAACTAAAAATAAAAAATATTATTCAAAATTTGATTGTAAATCTAAAAATAGAGTAATGAATAGTATTTTTTGGAGAATGTGTGGTTGAAATTTAAAGTAACTTTATTGGGTTATTTGTAGAATATTTTATTGTGTGAATGTGTGGTGTAGAATCTTATTGTAGCAAACAATTTTTTGGAATAATGGTAGATAAACAGGGGCTTAATATAATTGACATAAGCAAACATATTTAAGAAATAGTAGACTCATAGAAATCGAAAAAAGTAAGTATATGCAAACATAGTTAAAGAAACAGTAGATTCATAGAAATCGAAAATGGCACGTGGTGGGACCTGAAATGAAGCCGGCTGAACTAATTAAACAAACTTGCACCAGAAACATCTGGGAAACGTAATTATGCGATAAATTCGATTTTCCGATAGAGATTTGAAGTTAAATAGGCCTACGTATATATATATTTCAACATTCTCAAGTTATTACACAATAATGTAGCAAATTCATCCGAAATTCAACGATCTATAAGCTAATGGCCATTTAAATTCATTCCAATAGAAAGAAACAAACAAAGATGGTTTATATTCTATCACAGAAGGAATATATATATATATATATATGTAAAACAGACAATTCAACAGCAGCCAAACAACAAACAAATTTGATTAATAGAATCATGCATTGAAATATTGAATCAAAGCACAAAAATAGAGAATATTAGCATAACCTCACCTGTTTTCACCTGAAGAAATTGTCATCTTTTGATGCGTGCCACAAATTTCACGAAGTCTGAATGTGTGATGTGTAGACCGATAATCTCCCCAGAAATCGGAATTTATAGATCTAAAAAAGTGCGGGTCCGGGTCGAGGACAGGGCAAGTCAAGGACTCATGGGTGGAGAAGGTGGAGGGAATCTTCCACCGGAATCAAGCGTGAAGGACCTTCTCACTGGCTGACACATTTTTCATGCTCGTGCTCAAAACAATTCATTTAGCCCGTGTTTGATCCCATTTATTTTTATTTTTTATAGGGAAAAATTCATGAATCAGATATTATCTTTGTCAAAATAAAAAATCAGGTGCTAAATTTCAAAATTGCAAAAATCAGATTGTTATTAATTAATTAAACATTTAATTGTAATATAATATAATTAACCCCATCCCACCTCCACCACCCCCTACTGCTCCGGTGACAGTTCCGATGGCCACTCTACTCCGGCGACGGCCAATACTCCAACGAGAACTCCGGTGACCGTTCCGCCGCTTCTTAATTTCGATAACTGCTCCGATTCCGACAACTGTTAAGGTCACAATTATATACAATTTGGTCACAGATATCTAATTAATTAAATAAAAATTAATTTTCAATCACAACTTATCAAATTACTGGTCACAAATTATTTCAAAGTCACAAATCAAAAAATATTCGGGTCACAGTTGACGTCATTGGTTACTGATCAAAAAAATTATGGGTCACAAATGTTTAATTGGTCAAAAGTTAAAAAAATTATAGATAACAGAGGTCACATATTTTCAAATTTGTTAATCACAGATTATCGAATTTTAATGTCACAGTTTAATAGCTAATATAGTTGGTCACATACACCCAAACACTAGTCCCCGATCCCAATCCGCCACCAATACTTGGTCATAGACCGACCAAATAGTTGGTTGTAGACACTCTTCGCCGCCACCTCTACCGCCGTCGCCCACCCACCAACAACAACTACCACCCAAACAACCACCTTCGTCGCCTGCACAACATCACCCACTGTTAAATTTTTCGTTAACAGAAGATGACAGTGACACGTAAACGGATCAACTCTTCTGTAAAGATGAACAGAAATCAGAGACTTAGATGAAATTTACCTAGCGAGAACAGGGTAAAAGGGGTCAGCTAAGAGTGACAGTGCAGAGTACTTGACGATCAGAGAAACTTCCAGCAACTAATTTCCGAGCAAAAGGGACAAAAATTTAAAATCGGTTAAAACTTTAATTAATCTAAATATTCCTGTGTACTATAGGCTACTTACGTAAGTTGATTGAATGAGAAACTCGATTACTCTGGATCGCAGACATGAGCATTGTTGGCTTCTCATTTCTGGAGGAATAGAGGGAGGAAGTTTAAAAATGAGTAATGTACCGGCAGCTGCTGCCGACGCTACTATGAATTAGGTGGAGATGGGAGGGAGGGGGAGGAGAAAGGTGGAGTAGGGTGAAATGGCAAAGAAGAGACGAAAGGGAGGAGGAGAAAGGAGGAGTAGGGTTTGGGAATTGGATTGAAATTTAGGGGTAGGTGTGGGTATATAGATTAATTTAATTTAAAATATCATTATTAATATTAATTGTGAAATTAAAACCTGATTTTAGATTAATTAAAGTATAAACCTGATTTTCAGAAACATCAAACTAAACACCTAGTTTAGTGTAATTTCCACTTTTTTTATTAGAAAAAATGTGTTTTGAAATAGCCCGTGTTTGGACCCATTTAAATATATATACATGTGCGTGCGCGCACGCAAGTATTGAAATAATAATTTTTTGAAAAATGTATGATTAAAAAATGAGATAAAAAGTCTTGAATTTGTGTAAAATTATTTTATGAAAAATGTGTACTTAAAAATGAGTTTTGAAAAAATAGAATCCAAACATGAGCTTAATCAGACCACGCCATGAGCTTAATCAGGCCAACCTTTCTCGTAGAAAAATTATAGTCGGGTTCCAAATATTTGAACCATGTGATATTAGATCGTGAAACCTTTAATTTGTCACACTATGGGTCTTTAACCTATGAAACGATGGTGACCGTCATCCTTTTACGATGAGGAAACGTTAATTTAACTTAAAAGGTATTTTTTGGGTAAAAGACCATTGTATCGTTTTTTGGAATGAAATATGAAAAGTAAAGTAACGTAAAAAGAAAAATAAACGGTACAAGGATGTAACAAACAAAGACAAAAATTTTCGAACTTAGATTTGACGAGCAAAACTTTTGGTAACGGTGGGAACATTCTAAGTTCGTATTCATATATTACATGAAAATTTGAATGGATTTGGTGCTTGATTCACTTGAAAGGGACCAAATAAGGTGTAACGACCCGGTCTCTCACCGGAGTCGTTATCTTACGTACTTGCACAATTGGTACCAGAATTCAACTTAAATCTTCCATATGATGAATGTCTTGGGTTCGAATTTTGGGGGATGCGTCAGAAAGTCGTGAGAGGTAAGATGGGCCTAAACTCTCCCAAAGTAGACAGTACGTAAGATAACGACTCCGGTGAGAGGCCGGATCGTTACATAAGGGACAATTATAATAGTCAATTTTTATTAGAAAATATCATCGAAAAAATAGACCGACCACTTTTTGGATGTCAAACGAAGAAATAGATTGCTCTGATGGTGGATTTGTCTCGCCAAAAATGTGGCAAGTAGAAAAAATCGATCATAACAACTACTTGATGACAATAATAACGTCACTGACACTGCAATTGTAACAATTGTTTGGGGTGGGAAGGTGGAAGATAAATTTTATTTTTCCTTATTTTTATTATTTTCCTTAAATATTTATTTGTTTAATGGCCTCTTTTGTATGATTTTTGAAAAGTTAAAAATCGATTTTAAAGTTAAGAAATTGCTTTTGAATATGTTTGGATAATTTATTAAAAGTGTTTTGTACGGTTATAAGAGTTTTTAGAGAAATATTATCTAAAGTAGAATCCTCGTGAAACCCTAAGAGTTTTAAGAGAAAGATTGTCTAAGGTAGAATCTTCGTGAAATTCTTCTACAAAAAGCAAAAGTCCGACCAAACAAGTCTTTAAGTCTCTTACAAAATTATTATTTTAATAGCATTTTAACTAGTTAATTAGATATGAGGATGATATTGTTTTAGGATGAACCTCACTAATTATTTAAAGGTTGAGGGTTATTATGTTACGAAATAAATGTTGGGTAATATTGTTATAGAAGTCTAAGGTTGGGGACGGTTGTTGTAATTACCTTTCGAGGAACAAAGTAATCAAATTAATTTAGGGAAATTTACAAAACACGCAGTTTATAGAGTATTTTCTAATTGTTGTTTTGTTTTTCTTTAAAAGATGACTTGTTTGTGTGTGAGATTTATAGAATTTATTATCTTATTTTCTTAAACTCTAACATCAAATAATTTTTTTAACGAATAAAAATTAGAAAATTTTAATATTAGTCTTTTTTTTTTTTTGTAGCTAGAAATCAAATTTTTATTCATATAATATTGGGTCATTTTACAACATAAAAAAATTGTGCGCGATTTTATTGGTATCTATTGTGAGAAAGCTTCATAGAAAAGAATAATATAGAACACAATTAATAAAACAAATATTTGTGTAAAATAAAACTAGCTGCGTAAAAGATGCGATGAAAAGATCGATTGAATGTTAAGTTTATAGATGGATAGACGAAAAGAAAGAAATAAAATTAATTTTTTAGATGAAAATGAAATGGTCATTGAACTTTTGGAGATTAAAAATTTGATATGTAAAATTTCATGACTTAATACAAGAGGATGTGATTTTTTTCATCATGGGTATTTTAATCCATTTAACAAATTTTATGGATAGTTTTAAATTTTTCTAGTAAAAGTTCTTTGAATTATTACTCTATAAAATATAGCATATTAAATATGGGTTAATTTCACAAACGGTCACTGAAGTTACGTCAAAATTACAAAACGGTCACTGAAATTTAAAATTTGCACTAACAGTCATTGAAGTATCATCCGATTTCAATCATGGTCAGTGAATGACCTTTTTCATTTTATTGGAACTTAATGGACCAAAATAGTTGAAACTTGAACCTTGAGGATCTAAATCACAAATTTGACAATAAAACCTCCCAAAAACCATTTCTTTTTGGCGTGAAACACCACAGGGGAATGGAAGCCGATTTTGGGAGGGAAATTAGGGTGAAAATCATGCTAATATCATCCAAGGGTTTGAAAAATTGGAGAAGTATGTTGTGTCCTAGGGTTTGAAAAGAGGATTTGATTATTTTGGTTCTTGATTGGAAGCTCAAGCTAAGGATTTGGAAGAATTAATTGGATGATATTAGCGTGATTTTCATCCTAATTTCTCTACCAAAATCGGCTTCCATTCTCCTGTGGTGTTTCAGGCCAAAAAGAAATGGTTTTTGGGGGTTTTACAAATTTGCGATTTAGGTCCTCAAGGTTCAAATTTCAACTATTTTGGTCAATTAAGTTCCAATTAAAATTAAAAATGTTCTTCAATGACCATTACTGAAACCGGGTTATACTTCAGTGACCGTTAGTGCAAGTTTTAAATTTCGGTGATCGTTTTGTGATTTTGACGTAACTTCAGTGACCGTTTATGAAATTAACCCTATTAAATATAAATTTAAAATATACATTAGGTAAAGTGTTAATATTGTATTTTACAATAATTAAATGAATAAAACAGGTAACAAAAAAAATAGTCCAATGGTTCTTTAGTCGTGTATATAACTGCATGTTTGGATGTTAGCCCTTGTTTGATACATGATTATGAACGATTTATAATTAATCAAACCACTTGTTGTTCACATATTTCGTGAGATTTATAATTAATACTCACATATTCGTCAGTCATTTCATCTATTTATAATTTAAATTGATAACTCTTAAACATGCTTTCAATTAAAAATTGGGTGATTATAAATGGCGATTATATGAAGTGTGTGAATAATAAGTGAGTAGTAATTGTGCGTCATTTTAAATGTGTAGATAAAA